TCCCTGCATCAAAATGTACGGCCTGACAGTGCTCGCTGTGACAAACGACTGTAACTATCGAGATGACAGGAAGAGGCATGGCAAAAAATGTTCCGAGTTCCGTGGTGTAATGGCAGCCCATGCAATGTAGCAATGCTTGCCGGAAGCAGGAAATCCGGGTTCAATTCCCGGCTTTCGACACCCGAGTGCTGCGTTCCTTGCATCAAGCTGCACAGCAGACTGCACGGCTCTTCTATTCTGGAGCTAAGCATTCGCTGCCTCTTGCCGTTCGGCGGTCCGAGCCGGCGGTCCGAGGGGCCATACGCTCCCTACGCATATCTGTTTGCTGTTCATAGGCATTCCCGTGCGTTCGATGTCGTTCCTTGGGGCTACAGGCTGGGCCGAACCAATCACATTGTTCTGAGGCTATAAGCGGAGAGGATCTCGAGTCTGCTCGGTGCTTTCCAAATAGGTCTGTAGGGTCGTACTGTCAATTTGGTGCACGTTCCTGAAGCAACGCTGGAGCAGCTGGAGCGAGAACATCCTCTAAATTGCCTTCATGACTATTTCTCTTTGCGGCGTAAAACTCGGCTGTCTGAAGGTGGCGCGGATCGGGGGCTGGATTTTTATCGTGTCTGGGCATATATGCCGCCGAGCACACTAAGCGCCGAGGAGACGGTCAAGGTCCACGGGTTCAAGTCACCGAGACAGTTCACAAAGTTGTCCCCAACAGTATCACATGCAGACCTGGGGACAGTCGGCCGGCTTCACGGCATGGAAGCCGGAGACCGGTTTGGCCCGTCTGCTCTTGGTCACGGTTGGAGCCCGATAACCCACGAAGCTTCAAATTGACTTTAGCAATTCTGTTTCAGAAGAGAAAGAAGCATTCCCAATTTCATTCCTGTTGATGCTCTCAGAGACGAATTCGAGGAAGTCTATATTGCTAAAAGGAGGGGTTAAAGACAGGTAGTAGGCACTACTGCATCTATTGATATCCCTCCCCTGCTCAGTTCGAAAATTAATTATCCCATGTCACTCCGAAGTGTAAATCTACCGTGGTATACACAGGTCGTATTGATAGGCCAGTCGGTAGGTTTAACACTTCCTTCGTGTATTTTTCCAAAGGATGCTGAAGAATTGGCGGGTGATGATCCTCATTTTTCCCCTCGCCTTCCTCTCACTTCTTCTCTATTCGCTCCCATCTACGAAGACGCTCCAGACCACCCAAGATCCAACCGTGACCAACGCCTCCGTGCCCGCTCCACTCGCCGGCCTTCATTGCGACTGCGAAGGGGGGAGACCCACGATCGGAGGCGAGACGGCGTCGGTCTGCAGCGGGAGGGCGACTGTCCGCGGTGGAGGCCAGCGTGTCGTGTCGTATAGTCTTTTTGGGTCGAAGGAACCGGCCGGGAGGGCGCCGTCCGAGTACGAGGGCCTTCTCCCACGACTTTGTCTCGACGTCGAGGTTCAATATCCAGGTCAGGGGAATTTCAGCACAACTCTACCTGTTACATGATTCTGCGGTTCATGGCAATTAACTAATAGACAATTGACGATCAACAATCACTGTTATATCACTGTAACCAAGGTACGTCCATAAGCGAGAACGGGATAAGCTAGTCTAGGAGCGCACCTATGATCCGCGCAGCCGGATTTTCTCCCATTGCAAAAGCCGACAGTAGCCACCGAAAAGCGACGACTGCAAGTGTCAGTGGGAAGCGGGCAGCCCTCCTACACATTTTCCACCTGTTTTTTTTTTTTTACTACCTAGTATCTACCAATATCCGAAAGTATAATTGCGTACAAATTTGTGAGCTTGATTGTAAAATGAAATGGAGAGGATGGTAAATGGCTTATAGAGACAAATGTAGTGACCCAGAGGCCGACTTGGGACAACTGGGGCCCCAAGAAATCCTCGATTTCCCATTTTCTCGGAGACGGATGATGAGGAGCATTTCATCATTCGAGTTGCACAACTTGCAGCCATCTGAAATTCTGCAGATATTCCTATAAAGATGATCGCCTAAGAGTGAAACTTGTACATCTCGTTTCTTTTCTCCCTCCGAGAATCTTCTGCTTCTCGATTCATGAATGAGGGAAAATGTCCGGCGACGTAACATTTATTAAAGGAAATTCTCTTCCCGCGAGAGTTCCGCCATATATTGTGACACACAAGACATGCGAGGCCACTGTTTCTCCCCATTTTTCCGAGTCCAACTACAATCCCCTTGTGCGAGAAAGGCCCTTTTGATATTTAGAAAAGTCCAAGTCCTCTGCATAGACAGTGTGCAACAGTTTCCTCAATAGGAAACTGATGATGAGGTAAGAATGCTAAATGGTACGATAGAGCAACCTCCCGCCGCAAGAGCTCGGAAGGTAATGACTAGACCTGTGCGAGTCATTTGGTTTTGGAAAATAGATGTTTTGATAGCGCATGCGTATTGCATGGGTGCGCTCTGCTGCGCTGGGAATTCCGAGCCGCTTATGACTTCCCCCCCCCCCTCCGGGTGAAACGTATAATTGCTCGTTCATCTTTATTAATTATGTATATACCGATATTTCTCCGTTTTTCCACTGCATTCATTCATGTTCATTCACAATGAACTATATCCATGGCGGCCTCCTTCTGAACAGTGTTCGCAATATGGAGTTTTCAGGCTGGGTGATACGATTCTACACCGACTACAAGCCGGAGATCCCCGAGCAAAGGAAATGGATGTGCGAGATCCAATGCAACCACTCCCACGTGGACTTCTGCCTCGTGGACAGACTTCCCGTACTGGGAGATGTCGCCAGCACGCAGGAAGATGGGACGACCTGGAGGTTCCTGCCTGGGATGGATCCTCTGGTGGACGTTTTCCTTTCTAGGTGAGAAGTGTGCATGCTTTTGTGAGACCCTAGCTTCCTCAGTTTTCACTGAAAGTAAGCTATATTCGAGAAAACATAGGGAATTCCGAAAAAATTTTGTTGCAAAACACCACCGTTTAGACTAGGAGTGAATAATCGTAAGTTAAAAAAGCTGAAGTTTATCCGTTTGGCACAAGAACAAGCGATACCGTAAACAGTAAACACTAGATCTCTAGTTTCCATGCTGCCCAGGTCTGCTTACTCTTCGCACTCATAATCTCGACAAGTCATTTTACCTTAATCATGCGTTTGTTTGGTGCAATTCCCAATTATTCCCAATGGCTGCCTTTACTTTGCGCAGGGACACGGACGCTCTAGTCATCGATCGTGAACGCGAGGCAGTTCGTGAATGGCTGGATTCAGACTCCATGGTCCACGCCATGCGAGATCATCCTAATCACTGGGGGTACATCCTTGCGGGTAAAACTGCTTGCAGCCCAGAAATTCACCGCCGCACCTCCAATCTGAAACCGATAAACATTTCAGGCATGTGGGGAGCAAAGACGTTCATGGACCGTTCCTTGATGGGAAACCTGACAGCGGAGATGCTATGGAAGACGCAGTTGAATCGCGGGTGGAGCTACGATCAGGCGATTCTCCGGAAGGTCCTCTGGCCGGCGACGAATCGCCGAATGGTAAGACAAAATATGAACTATGCATCCGATGTCTTTTCGGCAGAACAATCGCGTTAGATCACATTCAAAATATGAAAAAATATGAAGCTGTATGAAGGTATATCCCAAAGATACCCCAGAGATATCCCCTTTGGGACAAATGCGATGTCCCAGAGACAAAGGGACATCTTAGGGATATCAAAATGTCTGGGCCCAATGACATCCCAATGACGTCTCTTTCTTGCAACACAAGTATATCCGAAGGATGTCCCATAGAGTCCCTGGTAGTACTTGCAGGCGCCTTCCTATCCGCCATGTACTCATTTCCTACCGCACAGGAGAACCCATAACTTTCGAGGGTGTCTCTGTTCGACCTAGGAACACATTATCTTTTGTTCTTGACCGATTGAAGAGTGACGATTATGGGGGAGGAAAATCCTCAAGGTTCCTAAAGGGAGCCCCATCATAGTTGAAACATCTCCAAGAGTCGAAATTTAGCAACTTTACACGAGGAGTCATGGACGAGACGATTAAGCATTACGCCTTCTTAAAACTATGGGCTTAGGCCTCCAACCAAGATAGTTGTGTCCAGACATACCGATCAGACATCATTAAAAAGAATATAGCGGAATAAATTAAAATTCGGACAGCAATGTTTTCAATTTCCCTAATGGCGGTTTTCCTGATGTACGGTACGGAAATCTTTGCTTATCCTCAGGACAAATCAATAAGATGAATTTGATAGAAAAGATCCGAGGTTGCAGATCAGGGCTCACGGGAGACATCTACCGTCGAAGCTGTGCACCTGACTGAAGGCGACAAAGCACTGAAGATGCCTAAAGACATCCCTAAGATGTCCCTAAGACATCCTCCTCAAGATATCGAAAAGCGTTCGACTGAAGATGTCTAAAAGACGTCTCTTAGATATCCCGAAGACATCCCTTACGAGTTGTCCGAAACCGTCCGGAAGAAGATGTCTTCAGGATGTCCTATGAAGACCAGGGGACACGTCGTCCAATCACTGTGCTGTGCGGGAGATGTATATCTAAATACGCTGATGCACTCCTATGAATTTCTTTTTTCAGCTGCTAATCAATCAGGCACTCGATATGTATTTAAATTAGAGTTCTCGAGACCGACGACAACTCACACTACTTCACTTCGAAACGGTGTTTTTTTTTCCAGCTGATGCATGACAGCTACTTTTGCACGAAGCCCGAATACGAAGGTCCCAAGTACCGGCCGTTCCCGACGCGTCGCGAAAAGGGGGATTTCGTCGCGATCGGGCCGAGAACGGAAGGCGCGTCGGAAAAACTGGGGAAGTGTCCCGTCGAGTGCCGACCGAAGAACCACCAGGACTGGGAATACTGTTGACATCCGCTTGCGGCTGCTCTTTTCCTCTCGTCCGTCGGGAGTTCCAGCAGATTCAATCTAGATATTCTGTAGCTCAGTCCCAGTTGTGTGCCGGACGTTCTGTAAATCTGGACATTCTCTAGGGATACCTTGGACCCTGGTTTTGTCTTTTTTTTT